TTAAGGCGGTTCAGAAGTTGCACAGAGATGCATTTGGAACAAAGTAATGATGGAATTTTTGATTAAGCGTTAAATTAAAAACCAATACCTTTCAATAATTGCTTTATTAAACAATAACAAATACAGTTGTTTCGTAATTGTGCTGGAAAAAACGAATATATTGTTCTAATGCATAAACATATATCACTTTTTTAGGAGTTTGTTGCGTCTGCTGCTGTTTGTCCTGATGCCTCGGACGTTGCAGCCTGTGCGCGAACCTTAGCTTCGTCGTCAATGGCTTTCAACTCGGCTTTGGATTTGGACAGCTGTAAAGCAACACACCGCATTTGAAACCAAGGAAGAGTTGAAACCGTACTGCAGCTATTGAATCCCAATTCAGCGTTGCCCAAAGTGTCCTGCACACGTTGTTGCAAATCTGCTGGAAGTTCCCCGGGCGTTGTGCGAAGCTTCTGCGCTTCAGCGTTTAAGACGACATTCTGGAAAAACTCTGGTGGCGGCGGCCCTGCACGTCCAATGCCCAGCCCAAGACCTAAGCCTAGACTCAGTTGAGCCTGTAAGGCGTTTGTATTTTTAATGAGTACTTAAAACCGTTATATTATTAAAAAAAAAACTTACCCTTGATGCTACAAAACCACTAACTAAGAAAAAAAGTAATACAAACTTCATCATGAATGAATTATCTTAACTTAAAATTTATAAAATCCTGTTAGTTATTAACTGCTTGCGCTGCAATTTTGACTTTGTTCGTTCAACTTTTCGTATTTGATAGCTAACCCACTGGACTTGATTCGCTTTTATATCCGAAGCGGTACAGAAGATTATCTTTTAGGTGCGTAGATTTTTCCTTTGAATTTGGTATTTGATTTATGTGGTCATCGCGTCATCTCAGGGCCACATACCTACGTTCGTACACATGGATTTACATACATATATATGTATGTACATTAGACTGCATCACCAAAAAAAGTTGCGGTTTTTCCGCCGGGATTACAAAATATATTATATTTTATGACGTCCACCAAAATATTTTGCAAAAATAATAAGATTGAAGCGAGCTGGACCGATTTGAAAATACCTCCAAAAAANATATTTTATGACGTCCACCAAAATATTTTGCAAAAATAATAAGATTGAAGCGAGCTGGACCGATTTGAAAATACCTCCAAAAAAGGAGCTTTTTATGAATAAAAATAGTTTCTTAAAGAACTTTTTGAAAAAAGTCCCCTCAGATGACAAAACTGATTAAGCTTAAAAAATCTGCATAACAATATTATCAATCATATTATATCATTCTGATTTAGACTTGTGGGATCTCGATAAAAAAGGTATTCATTCGTGTCCCAATTTATTTTTTTTTTTTAAATACCAACACATCTTAATTAAACTTTGAATGATGTTCGTTCATCCTACCTTTCGCTTTCATCCTTTGAATGAGCTTATTATCAAAGAAATAAAAAGGGCGAGAAAATACCTTTCCAATGATACCTCACAAGTATAAGACGGAAGAGTTTAGGTTCAGTTATTCAAGTTTTTCTTATACCAATATTTGAAAAAAGTTAAAAAAAACATCAAAAATCTCTTTATTATGATTTCGTTCAATTTTAAAATTTTTTTTTTCTAATATTTTTGAGTAAATTTTTTAAGCTCATTCCGTTTTGTCATTTGAGGGGTTTTTTCAAAAAACATCTTTAAGACACTATTTCAATTCATAAAAAACTCCATTTTTGGAGGTATTTTCAAATCGGTCCAGCTCGCTTAAATCTTAATATTTTTCCGAAATATTTTGGTGGACGTCTTAAAATATAATAGATTTTATAATTCCAATGGACCGATTGGACCGATTTTTTTTTTTGTATGGGGAGTGATGCAGTCTAATGTACACGCATCTGCACAAAGATGCACTTTTCTTACTCTACGCTAATCTCTTTTATCATGCGGCGACTGTTATCTTTAGTTCTAACCACTAATTTACGGATCTATTTTTATTTACTTTAGTGCATAAGAGTATTGCATTCATTTCCACAAACACGCACTGATTACAATTGGTGTTATAAATCTGTGGTCATATGCAATAACCGCCTAAGTCGACTTAAGAAACTAATTGAGTTATATATTCTATCGAATTTTGCAATTAAGTACTATTCCATGCGTATGTATGTATGTAAAATCCTCATATCGACAGGTAGGCTATTGTACAAGTTATAGACGAACATATTTTGGTTTCCCCATAAGGCTAACATATAATCCAAATGCTAAAAACGTTCTTTCTCGAATTTTAGGTTTTCGACTTAGGCGGTTATTGCTTGAAACCAAAAAAATATCTTATGCCGCAGTTGATGATTAAGAGGCAATGATTCATAAATTTTTGCTATCGCCCCGAGCCACCCTCCAGTTCGTTGAGGTTATTAATCACATTCCTTCTACTCCGTTCCTTCGCCGTAGAAAAAGTTGCAGTTTTTGTTGTATCAACGAAAATAAATTTCGCAAATACGGTGCAGCACACCCACCTTCAATACGAACCGAATTTAAAGTCGATAACATCAAAACTGCCGAAGTTGATGTACCGAAGAACTCTGTAATATATACCTATGTATATATCTAAACCGAATTTCATAGTGCAATATGCATTTCGCGGCTGTGTAGGAACCGTTTTAGGATCATTTGAAACGGTTTTTCAATTCTTTGGACTTATTTTTTCGATTTTTCGGTTATTCCGGAATCGTTTTTGTGTTCTTGTAAGAACCTGGGCTACCTCTGCAAAGATGAAGATGGAAATCTGGTAAAAGATGTCGAGAGTACACTTGAGTACACTATGGAGGGAACACTTCTCAACGCTTTTGAATGGCGACATATGTATGTGGCGCCTTTGATGAAGAAGAACCCGAACCAATGTACAGGGACGAAGCTCACGTCCTTCAACTCAACCAAGATGAGGTGAGAACAGCAATAAAGCAGCTTAAGAACAACAAGGCCCCCGAAGCCGACGGTATAGCGGCCGAGCTGTTCAAAGTCGGTGGCGAAGTGTTGGTGGGGCGCATGTACCAGCTTTTAAGCAGAATTCCAGAATCATAGTATACTTTGCCCAATCCATAAGAAGGGAGATCTCAATTATCACGGAATAAGCCTTCTTAATACTGAAAAAAAAACAAGGTCCTGTCGACAATACTGTGTGGAAGACTGACGCAGTTCACGAACCAGCTGATTGGACCTTATCAGTGTGGCTTAAGACCTGGTAAGTCCACCATTGACCAGATCGACACACACCATCTCTTTGGCGATTAAACGAAATATACTTGTTAATTTGTTTGATATATTTTCAATTTAATAATTTTCACGCTAATAATAAACGTCTCGGATTTGCAGCAAATTTTTCGATTATTTCCTTTTGAATCATCTCGCGGTTTTCGATAACGAGTTTTCTATGGACGCTCATGAGTATGCCTCCAGAAAGCCTTTCTTCTCCTGTCGTGCATCTGAGCCAGGGTTTTACTCTACGAAGAGTAGATACTAAACGATCGCCCTACAGTCGCTGTTGTGCATGGAAAAGCGCTCAAAATGGAAATACCCTTATTTATCGCTGGTAGAATGAGTTCACTACCCATATCTAGATCATAGATCTGTTGAAAATGCTTCGCGTTCTTTTTTATCTTTTCACTGGAACATTTAAAGTGTATATGTATAAGTACTTGCACTGGAAGGAATAACAAATTGGCCCACCGATTTATATTTTTTTATTAACCACTAATAAACAGAGACCAAAAATACTAGTTTTTTCAAGATTTCAATTCACAAAGTCAGTCGGAAAGAATCGGTAATTTTAGCATTTGTATATAGCAATGGGATGCTTGTTAGTCAAGGAATGTTAATCCCATATGATTTATTTATTTTTGTACTTTTTTCCAAAAAAGTCAGCAATTCACCGTTATTCTTTGACTGATATTTTTTTAGTCAAAAGTAAAATTAAAACTTAAATTTTTTTTTTCGTTGAAATATAAAAGTTAAACAAATTTTAACCTTTATTTTTGACCGAAGCAATAAGTCATATTTTAACTTTTATATTTGACCAAAAAAATAAAAGCCATAACCGTTGCGGTCCCTGCTAATAAAAGCTTGTTTTAATTTTTTTTTTTTTTAAATACTTGTTCTAAATTTGGTTCTACTCCTCTAGTAAAAAGGGGCTTACGTGCCTATGCATATATCTGTTAATGCAAACAAAAACACATAAATACCCTACAAAAAATGCGACTAATCCGGAAGGAATCCGGGAGCAATTGGAAAGGAACATGCGACGAATACCACTTTTGATCCCTTTATATGGAATGAACTGATCGCTACTAATGGCGATTTCGTTTCTACAAGAAATGTTGCCTTCTCATCGCCCTCTTCTTAGTGTTTGGGCGTAGAGGGCAAAGAGAAGGTTGCATTTTTCGGTAGAAACGAAATCGGCATAAATGTTCCCTTTTATACCCGAATGGGCATAAAAAGCGACTAGTCGTTAAAAAATAAAAACAAAAATAAAAACTCTCGCCAGCTGCGATTTGAACCGGGGCTCTCAGGCTTGCTAAGCGAATACTCTCTCTACATGCTAACGTAGGACATGAAATTTCGTTTACTAAATATCTCCCTATCATTAAATCTGTCCTGTCAGAGATGGGTCGGGGACTAATTGATTTCCAATAATACCGACCCATATGAGAATAGTTACGACTAATTACTGCCCAATTTTACCCGATTGAGACTAATAGCGGAATATTGTCTTTAGAGATTCGTACAAATCCCGGCCTTTTTTAGTTTCCGAAAATCCCGAAATTATTGGCAAATAATCCCGGAACTTCCGGTGTTTTTAATTTGCGCTGATGGCAATAATCGAAACTGTTTTTCTTGACCAGTATTGGCCATAGTTTTTTTGTTTATTTAATAACTAATATTTTTTTTATTATACATATAACACCGTGGGATAATAAATTTTACACATAAAAATCAATATATATTTGCGAAACCAGGGCTAAATAAAGTAAAACTGCGTTTTTCACCCTGACGTCAGTAATTCAAAAATCATTTAAACAAGTATCTAAAGAAATATAAGTTCGGGCGAAACCGAATTTTATATACCCGGCGCAAATATCAAATATCGTCGTCTCTCTACTACCTTTGCATGATAAGCAGGGGTGTTTTTCCCCGATTTCAAACGTTTGGTAGAAATTGGAAAAGCGGTTGCCCAGATCAACCTTTGTGTTCGTAAAGTGGGCGGTGCCATGCCCAGTTCCTAAAAGTCTATAACAGTCTTATTTATTGTTAAGAGACTGTTGTAATTTTTAACTTGGAGTTAATTGGTGTCCTCAGTTTATGAAATATCGGAGTTTAAATTTACCGTTATACGGGCAGAGGGTATAATTTTAAACCGATTTCAATAATTTTCAACAAATTGCTTTTTCGTATCAAGATTATAAGGTGCACCAATTTTGGTTGATGAATTTGATGAATCGGCTAGCGAGATACACATTTGTGGTCATAAGTGGGCGGAGCCACGCCCGTTACTCAAAAATTTCTAAAATGTATACATTTGTCTATGTTATGTTATGTGAACAAAATTGCACATGTGCGCTCGGGTATAAGAATTCAGTGAAATGTGCCTTAGAGAAGAAGTATGGCTATCAAATTAAAGAGGAAATTCTGTAGAATTTAAACAGATTATTTTTTTTGGAACGTATTGAAAATGTCCTTTTAAAATTATATGGCAGAAATTTTGCAA